CCTTGGCGATGCTTCCTTCTAGGTGAGCACGGTTGTGAACATATTTCTTCAGACTCCCATGAATCTCTCTAAGGGGAACATGTTGTGTAGGAACACGGGACCGAGAGTGAAAATCTCCTTGACTAGGTGAACTAGGAGGTGTGTCATAATATCAAAGAAGGAAGGAGGAACACCTACTCAAAGGCGACGAGACATTGAACCACATCATTACGTAGTTTAGCTAGATCAGTTGGATCAATTTGCTTTCGAGAAATTGCATTGAGGAATGCACATAGCTTCACGGTGGCTAGGCGTACATTTGGAGGTAGAATTCCTCTTAATGCAATCGAAGTAAGTAATTGCGTCATGAGAACGTGTGATCATATGGGACTTTAAGTTCTGAATTTCTTCTCGGCACATTTATAATACCCTTTATATTCGAGGAGAATCCAGATGGTACCTTGATGTTGTTTAAGCATTCAAACATGATTTCCTTCTCCTCTTTGCTTAGAGTGTAGCTAGCGGGGCGTAAGTAATGGCATCCATCATCTATCTTCTCCGGATGCGAGGTTGTCTCTTTCTCTCAAACAACGCAGTCTGTCGTGCTTCAAATGTGTCCTTAGGCTTTCCATACACACCCATAAAGCCTAGCGAGTTCACACAAAGATTCTTCGTCGGTGCATCACGTCGATCGATTTGTGGACCTCTAGGACTTGCCAATAGGTAGGTCCCAAAATATGGACTTCTTCTTACACATGGGTGCGTGACCGTTAGCGTCGTTTCGGAACAGGTTGGCTTCCATGTCCTTTTCCAAAGACGACTTTCACATCATTGACCATATCGAGTACATCCTCACCAGTTCGGTTGCGAGGCTTGGTCAGGTGGTCTGCCTTCCCTTTAAAATGCTTGCCTTTCTTTCTTACGGGGTGATTTGCATGAAGAAATCGACGATGGCCAAGGTACACGACCTTTCGACATTTTTTTAAGAATACACCTCTAATATCACCGAAGCAGTGTGTGCATGCATTATATCCCTTATTTGACTGTCCTGAAAGATTACTTAGAGCAGGCCAATCATTAATTGTTACGAACAACAATGCTCGCAGATCAAAGTGTTCCTGTTTGTACTCATCCCACACACGTACACCTTCTTTATTCCACAAAATGAGAAGTTCATCAATAAGTGGTCTCAGGTACACATCGATGTCATTGTGAGGTTGCTTCGGGCCTTGGATGAGCACAGGCATCATAATGAACTTCCACTTCATGCATAACCAAGGAGGAATGTTGTAGATACTTAGAGTAACAGGCCAAGTGCTTTGACTACTGTTCTGCTCTCCAAAAGGATTGATACCATCTGTACTTAAAGCAAACCTTAAGTTTCTTGCGTCATTTGCAAACTCCGGGAATTCTCTGTCGATTGCTCTCCACTGGGACCCATCAGTAGGGTGTCTCAACATATTGTCTACCTTACGGTCTTCTTTGTGCCATCGCAACAATTTTGCATGTTCTTTGTTTCTGAACAGATGTTTCAAGCGTGGTATTATAGGAGCATACCACATAACCTTGGCAGGAATTTTTTTCCGCGGATGTTCGCCCTCAACATCACCAGGGTCATCTCGCCTGATCTTATACCGCGACGCATGGCATACTGGGCATGCATCTAATTTCTCGTACTCTTTGCCACGGTACAGGATGCAGTCATTAGGACATGCATGTATCTTCTCTATTTCTAGCCCCATAGGACAGACAACTTGTTTTGCTTCGTAGGTAGTGGCGGGCAATTCATTGTCCTTCGGAAGCATCTTCTTTTGGATTTTTAGTAACTCTCGAAATCCCTTGTCAGATACACCATTCTTTGCCTTCCATTGCAGCAATTCTAGTGTGGTTCCCAACTTTTTCTGCCCTGCATCACAAGTTGGGTACAACAATTTCTTGTGATCTTCTAGCATCCGCTCGAACTTGATCTTCTCCTTTTCACTTTCACATTCTCTTTGTGCGTCACGAATGACTTGAGAAAGATCATCAGCCGGCTCATCTTCTGCGGCTACCTCTTCTTCAGCTTTTCCCATTGCAGTATCATTGAAGCACGCACCATCGGGAATAATATCATTGTCGTCCCATTGTTCTTCTTCACCTTCTTCCATTACAACACCGGTTTCTCCGTGCTTTGTCCAACAAATATAGTTTGGCATGAATAACGACTTGAACAAGTGTGAATGAAGAGTCCTTGAGCAAGGATATTCCACCGTATTCTTACATATGGCACATGGGCAGCACATGAAACCGTCGCGTTTGTTTGCCTCGGCCGCACGTAACAAAGAATGCACGCCGTCAATGAACTCTTGGGAGCGGCGATCAGCATTATACATCCAATGACGGCTCATCTGCATTACATGACATAAATACCATATTAAAACCTAGATCATAATTAATTATTTATACAACATGCGTGCCACCACAAAAGATACAAATTTATGAAAGCATCGCTACAATGTAGACAATCCCAACTACCACTAAAAGAACTAAAGCTAAAATACATTTCAGTAGCACTAGGATTTCACGACCAATCTCAACTAAAACAGACAGATCCCCCGATTGTGCAACATCTTTGGGCTTCTTCGGCTGGATCATTGCCTCATTAGCCGCCGTATCTGCCTGTTGTGCAAGATATTTTTGCACGGGTTCAACATACTCGTCCTCTCAGTAGAAGCCTGAACATCGTCCACTGCCATCCCACTGAAATTAAAACAAAAAATTAGAACTTTAATCACAACCATCATGAAAATAGGTATAAACTAACCATAATCATTAAATACGATAAAATAACTCACATTGCGATCCGGACACTTGTAGAAGATACGATCCTTGTTGGGACCCTCCTTCTTCACTTGGTACTCCATCACAATCTTCGTCTCATCACGACACTTGCCGCATGGAATGAGAGGGAGGCCCGGCCTAAGTCGCTTTGGAAACCCATGAGAGGCCGAGGACCCGGAAGCAATTGCCATCTACTCTCTATACTCATTTTTAATACACTATAAATTTCTCCTTTTATAAACAAATAAAATTAAGAAACTATAAAATTATCTAGATCTCTAAACAATGATATTTTTAATGGTCATTGTGTTCTCGTCTTTTACTACGGCAGGTAAGTAATTCACATGATATTTCCGCAAATTAATGAGAAGAATGGGAGTGTACACACATAATGAGACAAGCTATGACGATGTATCGGGACGTGTGAATAAATAACCATCCGTACTAGTTGACCTTGCTTACGTGATCATCTCGGTGAGCATTTCTCCACCGGACGGCACCGTGCTTGGCAGCAGCGGAAGAGCTCCAATTCTACGAGGAAGGAACACGGTCTTCCACGACCGTTGCCGCTCTCCCTCAGAGAATCAAAGCTCCTCCTTGACGTCCGTTACCGCTCGGTAGAGAACATGCTCGCCGAGATAAACACGGTCCGCAAGTTCAACTAGTACGGATTTTCTATAATTTTCTAACTATTTTCTAAGTTTATATTTATATATATACTACGTTTGGGTACGGTGATTGACAGACTACTGCGACGATATCAGGACATGTGAATAAATAACCATCCGTACTAGTTGACCTTGCTTACATGATCATCTCGGCGAGCATTTCTCCACCAGACGGCACCGTACTTGGTCAAGGAAGAGCTCCGATTCTACGAGGAAGGGAACACGGTCTTCCACGACCATTGCCGCTCTCCCTCGTAGAATCAAAGCTCCTCCTTGACGTCCGTTACCGCTTGGCAGAGAACATGCTCGCCGAGATGAACATGGTCCGCAAGTTCAACTAGTACGGATTTTCTCTAATTTTCTAACTATTTTCTAAGTTTATATTTATATATATACTACGTTTGGGTATGGTGATTGACAGACTACTGCGACGATATCGGGACATATGAATAAATAACCATCCGTACTCTTTGAACTTGCTTACGTGATCATCTCGGCGAGCATTTCTCCACCGGACGGCACCGTACTTGGCCATGGAAGAGCTCCGATTCTACGAGGAAGGGAACATGGTCTTCCACGACCATTGCCGCTCTCCCTCGTAGAATCAAAGCTCCTCCTTGACGTCCGTTACCGCTCGGCAGGGAACATGCTCGCCGAGATGAACACGGTCCACAAGTTCAACTAGCTACTTTAACCTTCTTTCATGTAAATATGCAAGCTTGAAGTGATTTTGAGCTCAAATTGCTTACAAATGAAAAAAACCACAATAAAGAACCATATATATATATAGTGAACAAAATGAGATAAGACAATGGTGAAAAATGAGAGTATGAGATTGGTAACCTTTACAACTGAAGAATCGACGGAGGAATCGAAGAAATCGACGGAGGAATCGAAGAATGGATGGAGGAACAATGGAGGGAGGGAGGAAGCAAGAACACTAGTGCAGTGAGCTTCAAAATGTGCTTAGCTCGGGCTCGGGGAGGAAGAAAGAGACGGCCGGGATATAAAGGGGGGGACCTTTAGTCCCGGTTGGTGGCTCCAACCGGGACTAAAGGTAACTTTCAACCCCAGCAGCAGCCACGGCCCAGAGTACCTTTACTCCCGGTTGGAGCCACCAACCGAGAGTAAAAAGTCTCTTTAGTCCCGGTTGGTGGCTCCAAGCGGGACTAAACATCCGCCACCTGTCTCAGCTTGAGAGCCGTTGGGCAGGGACCTTTAGTCCCGGTTGGAGCCACCAACCGGGACTAAAGGTATTTCTAGTTCCGGGCGCAAAAAATTCCTGGACTAGAGCCCATTTTGACCGAGGATCAAAGGTCTGTTCTCTACTAGTGTATTGAATCCTTTCTAAATCAAAATCCTACCATCAAATTCTTACTCTAAGTTAGAAGACAAAATCAACTACAAAAATAGGTTATTTTTGGAAGGTCCGGAGTGCACCAAATCAAGTGCCAATCTGTTGGACAACAACCAAGTAAAAAGGCAACGCAACAAGATTATTTTGTATCATCAGCCAGAGTCTGAGCCACTTACCACTCATGTCGAGCAAGTTGAATGAAACAGGGATCTTCCCAATGCACCTCACCATTGTCATAGCAGCCCAAACTTTCTGGTGGTCTTCACGTGACACACGGACAATGCAGAGCTTTGTTACAGGATTAACATACTTAACTGAAAATTTGTAGAGCTTATAAGTACTTTTATATTAAGAAACCAGTAATAAACACAATGCAGCAAACACTGATATAAGATTTAAAAGGTTTCAGAAGTAATTGCTAGTAGTACCTTGCAATGATCCAAGAGATCCAGCTAGGCCACACTCCCCAAAGTTGAGTTGAATGCTATCTCTTATAACTTTTGTTATATTAAATTGGGTGAGGATTACAGGGTCCTGTTCACCTCTAGCTGCATCTATAAAGACCTCCACTACCATGTACCTATTCTTGAAGTGAACCATGGTGACTATACACTTCCTTAACTGCAGAGCTCCTGCATCCAGATGAAAGACCAGTCAATACTTTTAAGAAATGTAAGTAACCGAAGCAGCATCTTATTGTCTAAATCCCATAAGATTGTGGCCCTCAAGCAAGCACTCAAGTGCTAACAAAACAAAAAATAGAGGTAGTATGTGTAATACAAGTAGATATGTCTAACATGTAATAAATTGGCAAAGCGGGTCAGAAGTTTCTTCTCATTTCATCAAGAACTAATAATTCAAACATTGAAATAAGCCCGGAGATGCAGCAAGTGTAGGTCAACATATGTCAAAATGGTTGGTACCAAACATACAGTAACAAAAATAATTCCAAAGGTAATCACAAATATGGTATGAGAACAAGATGACAGCAAGCACTGTATGGGCAGACCAGCAGATTCCCCATTAGTCATCGGGCTTCTCCCATTGAAAAAGAAGCTCTTGTTGAACCCAATTTGGCGAACTGATACTTTATTGCACCAGCCAACCGGTCACAGCCAACCAAGTTGAACTCCTAGGGATAACCTTGCTAATATTAACCGACTGAGGTGATGCATGCCCCTAAGTATAACTTTGGTAATATTGATAACCTTCTTAATACTAACCAACTGAGGTGATGCACACATTGTTTCCATAACAACCACTGAGGATAATGAGCATACTTCATTATGTAGCTCAGATATTTCACACACTGGAATGATCTTGCACATGTAAAGTGAAGGGACCAACAGCAATAAACGTCATAAGCATGTCTATCAGAATTTTGCACTTTTGCATAAAGTGTAACCATTGCTATTGCAAATTACCTGAACAGAAGCTTATATTTGCGAAGTTTGGCCTCACAAATATAAGAAACCGCTTCGCTGACAAATTTGCTCAAATTCACACTTTTTAACTCATCCATTAGCCCATCCTTCTGTTCATCATTCATTGTCTTCAACTTCTTTATAACTGTTGTATTTCGCTTGATACTGGAGTCCAGGGTTCTCAGGTAGTTTGCATCTGGGATTAGTGAATCGTCACAAAGGTAAAAAAACAGAATTAGGTGCTGCTAGTCAAGATAAGAAATTGTATACTCTAACAAAATATGAATCATATCCACCAATGAAAAAGAACCCAAAATTGCAACATGGAAGATGGCATAAGCAAAATAAGAAAATAATAAAGTATGAAACCATTAAGTAGCTCATCATCACCCATTGTCAAGATTCTAAGAACATATACAAGCAACAGGAACTCTTGTACGTTGTTCCTCATCCACAACAAATTGTCGGAGTGGGTTTGTCCAGATTCTAAGAACATATATAAGCAACAGGGAACTCTGGTATGTTGTGCCTCAGCCTTAGATGTCCTACACTGCGCAAAGGGGAAGATGGAGGGAGGGAGGATCTGGGTGAGGAGACATGAGACGGAGGACGGATCTGGGTGACGAGCCATGAGATAGAGAAGAAGAGGGTGAGGTACCTCCAGATCTAGCCGCCAAGCCAATCCGCCGAGGAAGAGGCCACACACGCGCAGACGGAGGCATCGAACACAGGCACCTAGGGTTTCGATGTTTCGTTGAGCCCAGGAGCGCACGCGAACCGGTGGGAGGAAGCCGCGTCGGGGGTGGCAGCCGCGGTAATGGCCACCTACGGGGGCTCGCTGGCGCCTGTGCACCGCCATCCCGCCCGCGCCGTTCGCCGGCCGGTGCGGCGCGCCATCGCGAGAGAGAGGGGAAGGTGAAAGCAGAGACGGACGAGGGGACCAGCACGCCGCCACGTCGGGAGAGAGGGAGAAGAAGGGATGACGGGGGCGGAGGCGGCGGGAGCGGGACCAGTGGGGGCGGGGGTCGCAGGAGGCTCGGCCGGCGCGCCTCGTGAGAGAGGGAGAGAGGGAGCAGATGGGAGAGTTTTTTTTCGATGAGCAGGGGGAGACGTGGGAGATATTTGTTGTACAAGTGATTTGTAGGGGCTGCTGGTGATTGAGCCGTCCCTACAAATCATAACACCAGGGGCGGCTGGTGAGTGAGCCGCCCCTACAAATCGACCCCATTTGTAGGGACGGCTCATATTATCAGCCGTCCCTACTGTGTCGTTTGTAGGGGCGGCTGGTCTAATGGCTCCTGAGCACGCCACTTTAGGGGCGGCTCCATCACTAGTCGCCCCTAAAAAAAATTTGTTCCGTTGCTACAAACCGTTTTTCACGTAGTGTGGGGCACTGGCACGCAGGCGGTTTCGGCGGTGCAGGTAGAGGCGGTGGTGGAGGTTGTGGCGCCGGCGGCGGCTTCGGCTGGCACCCACAGTGAGGCTTTGAGCAGCTGCACGGCCACGCCCGGCTGTGGGCACGGGAACGGGTAAGGGTAAGGGTATATCTGCTTGCACGGGGATGGCTCTGGCTTGGGCTTGGGCTCGGGCTTGGGATCAGGTTTTGGTGGCGGCTTGGCGACCTCGATGTTCTTGACGATCCTTCCAGCCTTGCACCACAGCTTGCTGGACAGCTTGTCGGCGTCGAATGGGCCTGAGACCAAGACCTTGTTCTTCTCGTACATGATCTTCTTGATGACGAACTCTCCTTCTGTGCCATGAAGAAACGATCATGCTATATATTAACCATGACTCCCTAAGAGCATACTACGTATATATTGGCCTGAACTGAATGAAAGATGGTAGGAGTACGTGCCTTGTTGGATGCAGCAGAGGATCTTTTGGATCTTGCTGCTACAGCGGCAGCACTCTAGGTTCACGGTGATGATGAGCGTCGGCATCTCTGCAGCATATCAACAAAAACATGCATGAACCAACAATGCAGGTGATTTCGCATCTCTGCTATAAGCTGTTGCAGAGAGGACCGCCTCAGATCAAGTGTACGTAAGGCCTAGAGGTTTATTTGAGCTCACCTTTGCTTTGCAAGCCGACTCTGAAGAAATGCGGGTGATTGCCGATGAGCAGAGCAGCAGGTGGATCCCGCCGGTGGTCAGTGATCGATCAGCGAGGTGCATCCGTGCGCGTTATTATAGCAAGCAGAGATGCGCCTACGAAGCATTTGGTGGGGGATCACATCCGGATGGTTCGGGCCTTTCAATGCCGTTTGGAACCAACGATGGTGAAAGCCACAGACGTGTCGACGGCTGCGATTCCCAATTTTGTTTGGATGCTGCGTGATCGACTGATCCTAGGGCTGAGAACGGCAGCCCCGTCGTCTCGTCCTATCTTTGCTTTTCTTAGAAGAAAACTGTCAAGCATAGTTCTATTATAGGTACATGAAAATTGGCAAGAGGAGAAAGGCGCGAGCAAATAGCAAGGTAGGAGTACGAGTTTGCAATAGGTAAGTCGTCGGATTAGTTGCCGCTCGGTGGTTGTACTTAATGCGTGCCTCCTACTACGAGGACGATCCATGTCTACAGTGAGATCATACCCTGTATAATACTTTACTTACATAGAAGCAAAGAATATATGTTTAATTATTAATTCTTTTGCAATTACAATGTGATCATACAAACGCACACAAATTGTTTGAGGCATCTCCAATGAACTCTTCACAAAAAAAGTGCCATGTATAAATAGTATTTTTCTATGTACTTAGATATATACTATATCTAGATACACAGTAAAACCGATATATCTAGAAAAACTAAAATACCTTATAATTTAAAATGGAGCGGTCATCAGTTTTTTATATGCGAGGAGAGAATGGAAGAGCTGGCTCTTTATTATAAGCTAGTCTCTCGCATATATTTGAATGTTTTGTGTGTCAACACTTAGTCCTCAATATAAAAAGCAATTTTTAGTTGCGCCTTTCCGCCCTTTTATTTCAGATGCGGCTAAAAATCATTTCTGAAAATAGATGTAACACTCAATCAGCCACTAAAAATAGGTATAACACAGTAAAATTCAAAATTTTCCAAATCAGGTAGAGCGAAGGCAATATCGCGGAACTGCTTGACCCACAAAGCGACAAGGGCGTTCGTGTCTTTGACTGGAGCCGGCAAACAGAAGGAAGGTACGGAGGAGATTAAGATCCCACGCGTAGCAGCAGAGATTTCAGAACCGACGCTCAATACAGGCGTGAGGCCAACGGTGGTGCCACGATGAGTTTAGTGGAGAGGGATATGGCTATGGCCTCCACCATCTTAGCCGTCAGGAGACTCCATGGATGGCCTTCTATAGGTGTCAGATCCCGACCACACCTTGATTGATGGGGATGAGGGGAGTAGACATGGGCCAAGGAGCTAGCATCTTCCTCAACGTTGGTGGCAAGGCCGTAGACGCATGAGGATGCAGCAGTCCTAGAGTCAGATCTCAGTGAGAGCGGCTTCACCCTTATCAAGAGACGGCCAAAATTGATTTTAGGAGGCAGGCAGCACATCCGCCTCCAAGCTGTCGCCTTCGTTAAAAGATTTACATAATCGGCACAATTACCCGTCTCCATTAGTTGAGATTTTCACGGTCTGCACAATTGCTCGCCTCCATATACAAAACTCAGAAAACAAAAAATAACAACCTCTATCGAGCACATAGAGCAAATTGAGCCCGTCGAGCCCGCTAGCGAGCCTGTCACCGTAGTCCACTCGGTTGTTATCGTCGTACCTCGTCAGTGGTCGGGAGGCGGTGGTGCTGGAGCTGCTGTTGCCGTGTCGAAGCACGTGCTGCACAGATTCGCCGCTGCCATGACGGATCCGCCACCAGGACCTCAGCCAACGGGGCTCCATCGCCGCCCATGGATCTACAGTGTCGTTGAGGCTCTGTCGTCGTGGATCCGCCTGCCACGCCGGGTATGTAGGAGATCCGCAGCCACAAGGACGCCATGCGAGCTCCACTAACGTGGATCCGCGATCCGCGAGATCCGCCGTCGCAAGGACAAGCTCCGCCGCCGGCCACACGATACGGCCGTGCGAGCACTGCTGCCGTCCGCGCGACGTGGCCCGCGCGAGCTCCACCGCCGGCCGCATGTTGAGGGAGAGAGTGGAGAGAGGGAGCGAGGGAGGGAGAGAGAGAGAGAGAGTAGAGGAGAGGGCGTCATCCGCTTCCAATGTGTGGGGGAGAGAGAGAACTGAGAGACGAGAAGAAATACTGAGTCTGGCTTATATATGGGACTATAGTAATAAGTCGGCTTGGGCTCCGAGCTTATTTAGAGAGTCCGTCTGTGAAAATGATCATTATTTCCAGAGGCTGACCTCTTAAGAAGTCCATCTCCATAAATCGATTTAAGAGACGGTCAGTTTTTTGTGGCTCCCTAAATAGAACGACCGCCGCCGTAAATCAATTTTGAGACACGAGCACCTTTTGGGTGTCTACAGAAATAAAATGACTGCCTCTTAAAATCATCAAGTATTTTTGGAGTCATGTGAATTTTTTGACCGTTTTCATTAATAAAACTAGCTGTCTCCTAAAATAATTTTTAGTACTGCATGTTTCTTTTTTCCTCCCTTTTTATGGTGGAGTGACAACATGCATCTGTTAGTGTTATGGTGGGGAACGTGTATCGCCGTCGTGACAAGAGCAGTAAGGCCAGTGGCTGAAGATGGGCACCGCGCGGGAATGCTGGTGCGCGATCACCAAACCGAATGCGCGTCAACTGCGTCATCTCGGACTTTGCTCCGTTTGTTAGTAGATCCAGGAGATTTGGAGAAATAATTCTATTTGTTTAAGTATTTCTTAAGATTAGCAGATGGGTTGTTAGGATTTTGTTATAAGTATCGAACACTTGTGAGGAATGAAAGATAGACAGAGATTTAGAGTTAATCTCTCTTGCTCCCTGGCGCCCTAAGCTCTCCACTTCCACGTTCTCGCCTCCAGCCTCGATGCCAAGCACGGCGCCAGCCGTTCGCCGCCGGCCGTTCAAGCCTAAGCCCTCCACCTCGCATTCCTATTCCCTCCGCAGCAGCATACGTTCCAACAATCTAGTATCAATGTCAGGTGCTAGCTCCACCACCATTTCCGCCGCTGCCACCACTGCGTCCCCCACCCTGTGCACACCACTGCCGCCCCAACCACCATCGCTCCTCCCGTCGCTTCCCAGCCGCCGTCTACCCTGGTGCCCACCGACGCCCTGAACGCGCTCATCGCAGCCATTTATGGCCTACAGTGCCGAGTGGGGGATTTGTCCCAGCGTGTTGCCGTGGTCGAGAGCCGCCCGGCTATGTCCGCGCCGCCGCTCCTGCCTTACGGCCTTCCGGGCTACGGCGGCATCACTCAACTATTGGCATCAGGGCCGATGATCTCGGAGTTGATCACCACCCAGCCGACCATACATGCCCCGGCCACGATGACCGCGCCACCGCCACCCCCACTATCCTCCGCTCCCGTACCAATCACGTAGATTTCCTTCCCCCACTCGCCATCCCTGGTGCCATCTTTCTCCTCCATCATGAATGCTCCCCACCCAGCGACATCGGCGACTGTCTTTCCACCGCTCCCACCACCGCATCAGCCCCCACCGCTACCGGGCACCACCGCCCTGTGTTTTCACAAGCTCTCTTTTTCCCACCTATGATGGCAAAGAGGACCCGCTGGGCTGGCTTAACCGTTGTGACTAGTTCTTCCGCGGCCAGCATACCCCGGATGACGACAAAGTCTAGCTAACCTCCAACCACCTCACCGCCACAACCCAACAATGGTACTATGTCCTCGAACGGGAACCCGCCTGGGACGAATTCAAACGCCTCTGCCACCAGCGCTTTGGGCCGCCCCTTCGCACCAATCACCTGGCAGACCTCGCTCGGCTCCCCTTCACGACGTCCATTGAGGTGTACCAGGAGACATTCCAAGCGCGCATTGCACACGTCGGCCGGCTCTCCCCCTACCAGCAGGCGTAGCTGTTCGCTGACAGGTTGCCCGACCACATCTGGGTCCACGTGGAGATGCACGACCCCCAAGATTTCTAGCGTGCTCATACAAACACCGGAACATGGCACCACGGCTGACCTTGCTGGCACCACTGACCAGGCCATCTCACCACGCCAACAGCGGCCTCGCCGCCCTTCCGTCGACAATTGGGGCCTAGGATTCACCACAATCTTCTTCCTCGGTGGCTCCTCCACACCCCTTCAAGCGCCTCACACTGGACCAGATGGCGGAGCACCGCAAGCATGGCTTATGCTACAACTACGATGAGTCATACATTCACGGCCATATGTGCTCCCGCCTCTTCTACCTTGAGGTTTCGGACTACATTGTGGAGGAACCCGAGGACTAGGCTAATGACACCGTCGACACGATGCCCGCCGCACCATTTGACCCCGACACTCTCATGATCTCCTTTGCGGCCATTGCAGGCATCCGTACTGAGGACACGATGCAGCTTTACATCACCATGGGCAATGAGCAGTTCGTAACTTTGCTGGACTCCGGCTCTACCCACAACTTTATCCACAACAATGTCACCCACCACGTGGGGCTCCAGTTCCGAGACTGTCCGAGTGCCGACGCCATCGTCGCCAATGGTGACCGCGTCGCGTGTCGCGACCTCGCCCGTGATGTCGACATCAGGATTGCCGACGAGGTGTTCCACATCGACTGCTACTCCATTCCCATTGTTGGCGGTCACTAACGACCATTTCTAACTGCCAATTATAGTTCGAAACAGGAGAAATAAACATACTTTTGACACATATGCCTTTACTATTTACCTAGTTCCACTTGTATTCGAGAAAACATGTTCTGTAGGTCACAAGTTTGAATACAAGTGGAAAACATACCAAAAGGCGCAAACAAAAGGCGTAAAGCAGAAATGGGTGAAGGAAATACATGGAGAAGCCCACCTACA